TAATCAGCTGCCGCCCCCATACGAACGACAACTCTCAGAAGTTGAGAAACTTGTGCGAGCTAAGGACTAACGAGGTCTTACCTTTTAACGTGTGATTCCTAACACGGTTGCAGAATCGTTCCAGCTTCAACCAGATAAATTCTCTCGAGAAAAATATCTGGTCGAGGCGGGATTCGAACACACGACCTTCCGATCGTGAGTCGGACGCACTACCACCGCGGCCAATTCCACAACAAAATACTTTTAAATATTGTACGAAAAGGTTATTATAAAACAATGAAAATTTGAAGAAAAGTGGCTCATTTCAAAGGGTTATAAGATGATGAGTTGTTCTTTTTCATGATTAAAGCCTTTTTTAACTCTACATTGTGACAAAATTTCATTCAAATTGGTCAAGCCTTTTTTGAGATTTTTTTCTTATTTCTTGTTTTTTCAATTTATCCAAGAAACAAAAAACAAAGTAGATAAAGAAACTTGTAGAATCAATATATCTTATTAGTACCAATGTATCCTCAAATGTTCTTCTGGAGCTGATGGAAATTATAGTATAATTTTTCACTTTGAGTTTTCAAAATTTTTATCGATCATTGTAGTTACTCATATGATTTTGAATTATATACTTGATATAATTTCAGCAATTTCTCCAAATGGCCATGATCTAACTGTAGATTTTCCTAAACAGCAAAATTGGACTGGATTGATTTCTGAAATGGAAATTGTTCCATCTTGCCATGAAGGTATTAGTTGTAGCAGTTGTTGTATGATGCCAATAAGAGGTCCGAGATTCAAATGCAAAACATGTGAAAATTTCGATTTGTGTGATAATTGTTTCTATACAAAGAGAAATCATCGACATTCTTTTGTTCGTATACACGAACCAGGTATGTGAACAAATATCTTTTATCAAAACTCGGCAAGGGAAAAAACGACTATCTGAAAGTATTTTATTTGAATAATGAACTATGTGTAGTAGTGAAATTGAACAAGAAATTTGTTTATAAGTGACAGAAAGGTTTTCATGAAATTTTTTCAACATTTTATACCACACTAGCAATCCTTCCCGGGTAGCACCGCTGCAATCCTGCAGTACTAGCACCGAAATATTCGGATGAGTTGAATCATTTAAATTATGGCAAAGTTGATTATTTTAGAGTATTATTGAATAATACCAAAAACCGACTTTTTGGTATCGGAGGTATACGAAAAAAACTGAAAATTTCGGAATTAAATTTTCCGCTGTATCTGGTTCAGTTACTGAGATATTAGAAATCTGTTTATACTCAGTCATTGAAACTTTTAATGGGCTGTCAGTTTGTGTTCTCAGAATTTTTATACAAGATGGAGACTAACTTAGGCCACCTTTCACTCTGAAATTTAAATACAGGCTTCTACTTTTTATAGCAATTTTTTGTTTGACTCTAATGAACTTCAAAAATATTTCAATGAACAAAATAATCTGATTAATGATGAAGATCATCAAAATGTAATTTTGAATAAGGAACTAGACATTGCTAATAATTTTCTTTCATATATCATATATAGTGTAAATGAAATAACATCAGTTTTCCAAAATGTACAGCAGTGGACCCATGATTACCCTATTATATCAACTAATTATACTGAATTCCCATCTTTAACAATTAATGAACTAAGAAATTCATATTTTCTCTTGACAAAACTAACAAAGCAGAAATTTTAAATAATAATTTCTTAAAATGGAAAAATATAATTGATAGAAATAAGTACATTGTTGCAACATTTCTTAAGCTTGAAAGCACATTCAAAATAATTGATTGAAATTTTCTACTTGAAAAATTAAAGTATTATGGGATATCAGGGATTGTTTTTGATCAGATTCAAAGTTACTTATTTAACAGAAGACAAAAAACTAAATTTGGAACAGAATTTTCAAAGGAAATGCAGCTTCATGTTTAGGTACAATTCCTCAATCTAAAACCCTAAGTGAATTATCAAAGTTTCCCATGAACAAAATATATCGGCATGTACAGACAGAGCAAAAACTGAAATTGTGCAGTTTGGTGGAAGACTCGCAGCAAAACCGTCAAGCTTTGACAGAAAAGGAAGTGGGAACTTTAAATGAGGCTGAGTTTTGTCCTCTGGCTGAGCCATCACAGTCCCCAAAAGAACTAATATCTAATTCAGTTCTGAGAAGTTTTGCTTCGATTGCTGAGATTGATGAAAAATTGAGCGATAACGGAAAAGCACAAGAGTCCTGGCAGATATATTTGAATATGAACAACTCCAAGATTGTAGACTATTTCGTTGGTCAATTAAAATCCACTATGAAGTGCACACACTGTGGACACTCATCAGTAACCTTTGATCCTTTCTGGGATTTGTCCCTTCCCATACCACAAAGAACTGGCCAATTGAGTTTGTCACATTGCTTGGATTCTTTCACTAGAGTGGAAACTCTGGATGGAGATGAAAAACCAATGTGTTCGAGGTGCAAGCAAAGGAGAAAATGCACAAAGTCCTTATCGATCTATATGTTTCCCCGTATTTTAGTAATTCATTTGAAAATATTCTCTCTGATGGAAAGGTTCAGAGGCAAATTGAATGTTTTCATTGACTTTTCTTCAGATGGATTAGATATGAGCAGTTATGCAGCAGATAATGTGGCTCCTTGTCATTATAATCTATATGCACTTTCAAATCACAGTGGGACTACTTTTTCGGAAAATGGTTTTTATTTTTTTCTAGCTTAATTTTTTGAAGGATTCGAAAATAAATTGCACTTTCACATTGCCACTTTTTCCCTGCTACATAATGGTGTTTTCAGGTTTGGTATCCGACGTTTCGTCTTCCGGCCACTATCATTTTATTTTTTTCTTATGGGCGCTACGTTGGATTCTTTCTGTTTTGAATAGAACCAGATTTTACCTTTTCAATGATGTATCATAAGTTATCATTTTTTTTTTCGAAAAATTGGAAATATTGAAAAAAATTAATTCTTATCATAATAGGCTTTCACTTTGATGTTTCTAAATTTGACTTTCAATTTGTTACACTCAATGGCATTTTGTTATTATACAAGTCATTGAATTTTTGACGAAAAATGGCTTTCACGTATTAAGAAAAAAGATATAATACAAATGTATTACAAATACGATAAAACCAGTGTTAGGTATTTAAACTTGTATCCCGAAAGACGACAACCACATCGAACTATGTTCAAGTTATTGGATCAAAATCTCACCGAGTTTGGTTCATTTGGAAAGCCGAGGAAACAATATGGAGACAAAATGGACCAGGAAACTAAAGAAAATTTGATAAATGAGGTATGTGTGAGGTAAGTTAGACATCTTCAATAAAAATTAATAATTTGCAGATGAACATGAACCCAGGGAAATCTACACGTCAAATTTCCTTCGAAATGAATATTTGTTATACAAGTGCTTGAATATGTTTGTGGGGTATTCAACCGAAATATCGAACACATTTGGAGCATAAACAACCCCAGGCAGTTCCGAGAAATTCGACCTCAAGTGCGATTTAGTATTAACGTGTGGGCAGAAATTTACAAAGATAGAATTTTGGGTCCTCATTTATTTGATGGAATTCTGAATGGAGAAACCTATCAACAATTTTTAATGTCAATTTTCGAAGAGTCTTTGGATGATCTACCTTTGGCTAACTATAATAACATCTGGTTTCAACATGATGGTGCTCCACCGTACACTACCAGACGAAAATCTCATTACCTGACTGAAAGGTTTGGTGATAAATGGATAGGGAATAATGGGCCGGTGAGGTGGCCAGCAAGGTCTCCAGACTTGAGTGTTATGGATATATTCTTATGGGGTGCACTGACAAATAGAGTTTATGGTCAGAGGGAATATCAAAATATTGAGGACCTTCCACACAGCATTGTTAGAGAGTATGGAATATTGAGGAGATAAATTAATCGTGCAGTGAATAATATTCGAAGACGGGCACAGTTGTGTTATCATGAACAAGACCAGCATTTTGAGCATTTGCTGTGATTTACTTTGTCTTTACATTTTAGTTAATTATTGTTATCTGTTCAAAGTTCCATTTTCATTAAAAAGGGCAAAATGTCTAATTTACCTCATACACACCTCATTTATCAAATTTTGATTGTTGATTCTGTCTCCATATTTTTTCATTGGCTTTTCAAACAAACCAAACTTGGTGAGATTTTGATTCAATAACTTGAACATTGTTCGATGTGGTTGTCGTCTTTTGGGATACGAATTTAAATACATTTCCGATGTCCTAACACCGTTTCTATCGTATTTGTTATAAATTTGTGTCATCTCTTTTTTTCTTCATTCGCGAAAGCAATTTTTCGCCAAAAATTCAATGACTTGTACAATAACAAAATGTCATTGAGTGTAACAAATTGAAAGTCAAATTTAGAAACATCAAAGTCAAAGCCTATTATGATAAGAATTAATTTTTTTCAATATCTTCAATTTTTTCGAAAAAGAATAATAACTTATGATACCTCATTGAAAAGGTAAAATCTGGTTCAATTCAAAACAGAAAGAATCCAATGTAGCGCCCATAAGAAAAAATAAAGTTGATGATGGTGGCCGGAAGACGAAACGTCGGATAGCAAATTTGAAAACACCATTATGTAGCAGGGAAAAAGTGGCAATGTGAAAGTGTAACTTATTTTTGAATCCTTCAAAAAATAAAGGCAGAAAAAAATAAAACCATTTTCCGAAATTTCTGTTTTTTCCGGATATCTCCGGATATACTCGTAATTTCAGAACTTTCTCAACGGTATATTTTACCATCTTCATATCTCTCATAGTTTTCGAGATACCAGTGGTAAGGATCGAATTTGAAACACCCTGCGTAATATAAATATCCATGATAATGATTGAACAATTTTCACACTTTCGAGACAAGGGGGAAAATTGTTCAATCATCATCATGGGTAGTGTTATCAATTTTCATCGAGTTACTGGTCTGTGTACCCATAAAGTAAATACACATGATGGAAACTTTTGTCCAAGTTCAAAAAACATTGTCTTTTTTTCAGGTCAGGTGAACTTAGCGTATCTTCGAACTCAGCAAAATATTCTCTATGCCCTAAATGCCACAAGAATTTTACATACAAGTCAATATAAATTACGAAAAGTTCTTAAATATCCAGTCAATGGCATGGACCAGTCCCAAGAACAACAATCAATAGAAGAAGAACTTAATCAACAACCGATTCTCTTGATACAGAAGCTGTTGTCAAAAGCAACTCAACCAAGTCCCTTGAAACCTGGTTTCAAATTACAAGAAATGCAATTAGCATCATTGAATTTGAGTCAGTATTTAGCGGCAGATGGCAATTTTGAACCGACTATTTGTATAAACAATGATAAACCTACGCCAAAGAATGGAACCCGGTGTAATAGTGAGCTAGCTACTCCAAATAGCGAAAGTTCAGTAAACAGTGTTGTTAGTGAGAAAACTAATAAAAGAAGAGAATTGGAAGATGAAACACCTGTGCACCTAATGGTTTCTCAAATTGTAGAGATGGGATTTACTAAGAAAGCTGTTGAGAGTGCCATTAAATCGCTCGGTAAGTATTTCATCAGCATTGCAGTAGTGCAGTTACAAAATATTTTTGGTTGATTTTTTTTTTAGTTAATATCACCAGGAAATAATTTATCTACGATATCATCACAATATACAAACTCCAATAAAAATCGACTTTTTCATGTAGAAAAACATTGCTTCGATTTGTGATTTTTTTTTTGGTCAAATAACTTTTATTGAAATCTGAAGTCTTGAAGGCCATATTTCATTCGTCAATTAAGCAACAAAAGCTGCACTAGTATTTTTTATTATTTTGTATCCAAGTTTTGAAAAGGGTCATGACTCGAAACAATTTACTTATAGGCGAAGTAACTTCAACAGACAAATTTCAAAGTGGATTGTATTTCCTGTAGAACTACTTCTGATACCTGGTTCCTTCAGGTTTTCAACTTCAAAACAGCTAGTAATTCATATTTTTACTTTAAAAATACAGTAACTAAAAAAATATGCCAACTGTACTAAAAATATAGTAACCAAAAAAATATGCCAACTGCACTAAGTAATGAATATCTTCGAGAATCGAATTATGTTACCTATAAAGAAATTCGCAAAACTAACAACCGTCAACGACATCCGCCCGCGTTAGGGTCGCGTTCTCAGCGATTACGCTCCATTGCTTAGACTGCCCCTCTACCCACGCGCATCGTTCCCCTTCGTCTTACAGTAGATGCGACGCGTAATGGCTCACTGCGTTGCAGCAAGTTAATCTTATCGTGATAATTTTTTAACGATTCGTCCAAATTACTTAGTGTAAAAGATAAAGTTTATCTGTATTAAATACTCAAAACGACAATTGTATCAATTTTTATAAGAATTTGACAGATATTCTTAAATGTACATTTTAAAAAAAGTATCCAATCCAGTATAGTGGCTACCACATAAGAGGTACATATATGCTATCGCGGACTTTCATTTAGAACTATTTAAGAAAAACAATTTTACGGAGCATTATCTACATGTAACTCCAACGTTTAGGCAGCGCACGCCAAGATAGCTCGAGGGAGAAAGACTTTTTCTGACTTGCTCAATACTTATCGTTATATTATGACCAAAATTACCAAAAACCTTTGTAAATTGTAGCCTTTATGTTATTCTGATGTATAAGCTGTATTTATATAAATTTTCGTCTAAATTCGTTCATTCGTTTAGGTGTGACAGCTGTTTCAGCCTCAAGTCTCGCTTGCGTTTACGCAGTTATTTTTATCAAGTACTTCTCTTGGTTATTCACTTCAATCATCGAGGTCTGCCTGCCCCGTACTGACGATGCCCAACAATCATAAAAAGCTCATTTCATAACAAAATTTTCAATATAATTCGATGATTTTTGTCTTGGTTGTCATTTTTCCATTTCAACAGTGGTGAGTCGAGCAGAATATATTGATAGGAGACGTCAAACTGACACCTGCATGACATGTGAAGACGCCAAACTGACAGGCAGTTAAATAAATAATATACATTATCAAAGAATGTAAACTTTCACGGCCGGAGACAACAGTGTGAAAGCTATTTTCAGGTTTTTTTTGGCTGTGGTCTGCAGATTTTCATGTCTGACATTTCGTTTATTACTGCGGTAAACATTATCAAAGGTGATGTAACTGTGGCAGTGCCCTGGTTGGTGGTTCACGTTAACTGAATTATTGCGCATTGAAAAATGTGGTTGTTGAAATATGCTCAACTGGAAGTTTTATTCGACGTGCCTGCTTGTTTCCTTGAACACTCTCATTTACTTAGTGTCAAATTTATTATATTTGGCTGATACACAATATACAGGGTTGCCTGATCAGAAACGTCCATTTTTTTTTATCTAGAAGGCGTCAAGACCTGTCAAATTCACTTCCATTTATGTTATGCGATTTTTTGAGTCATGAATTTTTCAATGTTTTTTTAAGGACCAGCTCAAATATTTTTCTATTTTTCTCAAATTTTCTCCTTAAATCAAGTACGTTACAGAAAAAAATTTTATATATATATTTGGCAATCGAACGCGCCGGAACATTCCTTGGAATTCCGTCGATCCCTCAGAATTCCATCTAAAACGGCAGTGACCATCGTACATTCGCGCGCTCTTGGCTACGTCACAATTGGTTTATGGCTACCAGTGACGGCCGGCATTATTGTCTTTGTTCGCCCCGAAAAAAATTCCAAGAGGAGACATCACGACCCATGTAAGGACTCAGCTTCTCTATGTGGACAACTTTAGGCTTGCTTCTAGGTGACAATTTGATTCTGAACACCAGATTGTTTATCTTTTTGGTTACCAGGTAAGGTCCTTGCCATGGTCTCTGCAATTTGGACCATAAACCTTTCCGACGTAGGGGTTGGTAGAGCCACAATGCATCGCCCTCCTTGAAGTTCACTGGCAGTGACTTTATGTCAAATCTTATCTTCATCCTGTCGCTGGAAAGCTGTAATTTGGATCTGGCAAATTTGTGTACAATTTCCAGTGCCTCCTTTAGGTCATTCATATACTTGAGATTAATTGGAAGGACTGCCACACAATATATCTATTGGAAGCTTCAGTTCTCGATCAGTTAACAACATGGATGGTGTGTAACCTGTCGCATCATCTTGGGAGCTTCTGTATACCAACAGAAAAAGAGGAACCAAATCATCCCAGTCTCTTTGGTTTTCGGAGACAAACATCGAGAGGTAGTTATTTATGGTGCGATTATACCTCTCGACCATTCCATCGGATTGTGAGTGAAGAACAGTTATTCTTGTCTTCTATGATTCCAACTAAGTCATCATTTCCTTCCATGAATCCGATTCGAAGTTGCGGTTCTAATCCGTTTGTAGTTCCCGGGATACCCGGTGTCTGGCAATTACGTTCTGCAACAGGGCTTCTTCCACCCTTTTAGCCTCTTAGTTGGCCATCTTAGTAGGTCATTTGGAGAAATAGTCCATCACAACCATAGAGTACTTGCTACCGGATTTGGTTATAGGGAGTGGTTCCAGAGTGTCGACTACGATTCTTTCGAAAGGGCACTCACTGAGGTATTGCTTCAAACTCCCTCTTCGCCTTGTCTTCGGACCTTTTCTTGAAAAGCACAGGTCACAGCGCTTACACCACTCTTCCACATCTCGACGACAATTGCTTCACACGCATGTATTTGAATCTTCAACTGGAACTTCCAGTCGACCCAATTTGATTGACCTTCTAACTTATCAATCACAATTTTTGAGATTTCCTTTTTCATTAAAAACTTTTAGTTTACTTTTTCAACTCAATCCTTGACTAATGCGCATCACTTTTTCAACTCAATCCTTGACTAATGCGCATCTACACCAATAACCTGTTGAGATTTAGGTCGAACACAGAATTATTTAACAGTAAACAACTTTAATGAAAATAAATATACAAATTTCAGAAAAAATTAATTCAAATAACTTGACAGTGACAACTCTATCAACAACCCTTTTTTTATCAGTAAAACAAAACCTAATACATGGTGATGCAGATTAAATTCTCATTCATTCCTTATCATATATCAAAAGATAAAAAAATAACGTGTTCAGTGTCGGTTTTCAAACCGTGGGCTATATATCAAACATTACAACAAACGAGCCTCTTAGGCTGTATGAGGACAAATAATCATAGTTGAACATTCTAATAGCTGAACTGGGATATCTAAACGGGTAATCATCATATTGATGTTAGTTACAAACCTTCCTATAAAACTGAAAATTAACAGAGTAACATTACTCTCGCTTTTGCGAATAAACCACATAACTCATCAACGGTTGTTTCTATAAAACACCTGTCATAGCTAATACACCAATAGCATGATTACTACGAACTTGTATATACGATTTATCAACACAACGCTACTCTAAAAACCAACCAAAACCAGAGTGGACAGTAAAATCAAAAAGGTCAAGGTCATTTGAGATCTTTTATGATATCTCATTATCAAAGGTATATTCAGTCATTTACATTTGAATAGCTGCAAAGACCATATGGTTATAACAAAAACATCAAACTAGTACATAACTTGAAACATAACACATGAAACGGTGTAACAATTGCTCAAGATTAGGATACACAAATAATATATCAATAGCTTATGAATAATTACTTAAGATATAAGAATGATCATCACAATAATGTTACAAGTGGTTTCATTCTGGACACTATATGACACAATTCATCTTAATTAGTTTTCAAGGTAAATAACGGAGGTAAAATGACAAAATCATAACCTTTCATAAGGGACTAAGTTCACTATATTCATAGAACATTATTGTAATGGTGAATAGGCACATAAATTCGTAGTCTGGGTGTTTAATTGTTTTCATTTTTGGGATGCTGTTTTCAGATTACTCACATATACAAGCAGTTACGAGAGAACAAATTCTGAGCTCGGTGAACTGGGACGAGGACATGATTAATTTATGTATTCAACAAAACATAATTATTCTCTCTCCTATTCGGCCGCGTTGTTCATATTTTTTCAGAAAAATTATTGGATCACTAAACTAGTTCACTGAATTAATATTCCCTTCTAATTATTTCGATTCGCGGTCATTATTACGTAGCTTCTGCCGCCCTGTATAAAAGCATATCTGTTCTACCCAATGAACTCGAAATCTTTCGGCCTTCGCAAGGTCGTTCGTTGTTTAAATTTAAAGGTTTGACCTACTTGCTGAAAATTAGACGAGAATACAGTTAAATAACTCGGAGTACACCTTGATAATGGCTTGAATTTTTTTCATCACATATCAAATATCTCTCAAAACGTGTCTCAACTGCAACATATGTAATAATTCAATTGAGGGCAAACTAACAGAAGAATGTCCTATTTTGCAATATATCATTCAATAAAGTCATATGCTTCAATAGTGTGGGGATCTTTAAGTCACTCACCACAAATATTTACCAACAAAAAAAGGTACTGAGAAAAATGGCGGAAAACAGTTCTAACGAACATTGTAAACCACTATTCAGGCAATTTGGAATTCCTTCATGTTTTATATATGGATGCTTGATCTTCATGAAGAAATAAATTACCAAAGACAGTATTATCAGAAATGAGGACATACATAAATATCACACTAGAAAGAGAACTGACATTCAATTACTTAAACCAAGAATAATTAAAATCAAACACTCTTTCGGCCAATGAAATTTTACAATGCTCTTTCAAGTGTTTTAAAAAAAATCTTGTTGCATAAGTTTCTACTCTTTCGAGAAATATTTTAATTTTTTTCATATTCAATTAGATGAGTAATCTGTTAAAATATGTTTTTGCGTTAACCAGCTGTCGCCCCCCTACGAACGACAACTCTCAGAAGTCTGAACTTGTACGATCTAGGGATTAACGAGGTCTCGCTTTTTAACGTGCGATTGTAGTCTTGAGAATGTCATGTTAGCCGTCGCCAACCTATTACTAATTTCAGTGTAGGTTATATTGAACTCGAAATAGAAATACTACTTCTCATATAACATAATCAGTTCATTATTTTTAATACTGATGTGAATTTAATATTGAAGTTTAATTTCAGCAATTGGGCCCGATAATCTAATGACCCCGGAGTCTATAGTCAGTTGGTTATTGGACCACCCTGAGGTAGCTGCAGAAGATAGTGATTCTATGAGCTCTGTCTACGATTCAGAAACTGAGTCAGTTTCGTATGACAATGCCTTAGGAGCCCAGGCTCATGCTCAATATGTGAGTAGAGATTTTTTTGAATAATGAGTAGCTTTGTTTACTGACTAAACAGGAACAATATGTGATACACATTATCTAATATTGAGTAACAATACTTGCAACAACAAATTTTAGGGAGGAGAAAATAATTCCAAACAACAATCATATTGTAGACGTTCTCAGTTTCTTTCTAATGATGAATATGCAATGTATATTCGTGATAACGTGGAAGTTGGAATGCTAGTCAGATGTTGCAAAAGTTATGAGGAAGTACAATTAGGTGATATAGGAAAAGTTGTAAAAATTGACCGAGAAGGTTTACATGATCTGAATTTGCAAGTGAGTTTTTAAGACTTCCATGAAAATTCAATTTTTGTATTCCTAATTGCTAACTGTTTCATTTCACATCACATTTCAGGTAAATTGGCAACACAAAGTAAGCACATACTGGGTTCGCTTTATTCACATAGAATTACTTGGATTTCCTCCTTCATTACCTGCACCATCTTCTATTAAAGTTGGAGATAAGGTTAGGGTGAAGTCCAGTGTTACAGCACCAAGATACAAATGGGGATATGTAACTCATGATACAGTGGGAGTTGTTACAGGTTAGTAACCTCTATGATATAACTATCGGTATTTGTTTGAAGGTGATTGACAATGTTTCATGATGAATTTCACTAGTTATTTTCAGTTGTTTCAGGGATTTCAAATCATTTTATATATTAGACAATGAAAGTCCGAACTAGTGAAACTATTGGTATTATTTACAAATGCCATAGAACACTAAGTATGATGAATCGGTCCCAGAAGGATATCTGGATCATCATTTAAAGGTATGTTGGTACTAGTAAGGCACTTTGATACTGTCAGTTTTAGATCTCTATCTACTATGGTTTTTGAATAACTTGAGAAATTAATTGATCGATGTAAGTGAAATTTGATTATATGACGGCTTTAATAACCATTTGAAACAGGCGATTTTTCTCGAATTTGTTTTTCTATGATAACTTTTTCATACAATTTTGAAACTATTGTATATTATTATTGATGTATAATAACTTGTAATACACAATTTGGAACCTTTAGTGTAGTAATGAATATTACTGGAGTTTTTTCCCAACACCAAACCGTTATTTCAACACCTCGACACGTGTTTCGATCACCAAGTGATCATTTTCAAGAGGAAGATCAAGATACATTTCGAACTTCTCTCATGAATTTGTTTCTGCAGCTTACAATATTTATCTACTTCACTGATTAGTGCATTGTCGGTATTATCTCGAGATTTCATCGTATCAACAATTTCATCTGAATACTCTACATCAGCAGTTGTTAAAAGATTTCGTTTTCTTTTTAATGTTGGCGTTAATACTTGATAACCTATTTTCTCCAATCTCTCATGAATTTGTTTTTGCAGCTTACAATATTTATCTACTTTACTGATTAGTGCATTGTCGTATCATCTCGAGATTTCATTGTATCAACAATTTCATCTGAATACTCTACATCAGCAGTTGTTAAAAGATTTCGTTTTCTTTTTAATGTTGGCCTCAATACTTGATAATTTGTTTTCTCCAAGTGCTTTACGTCACAAAATCCTCGATGTCACAAAATCCTCGATGTCACAAAATCCTCGATGGACAAAAAAACATCTGTCTTCTATAAGTTGCATCTGCCATCAGAGAATCGACGATTTCCTCAATTATAGTAGCGTCATTTACGTTAGCATCATATGACCTTAAAATATTAACACATGTCCATTTGTTGTACAAATAGTAAATGGCTTACATAACAGTACTTTCTTTTGTCAAGAATAATACTTCCTCTGATATGCTTCATTAGAGATCTTTTGATGATGAACATGATGATGATGATGAACAGCATATTCCAAAAAAAAAAGCTTATCATTTAGATCAGCATACAAACGTTTGTACGCTGACAAACGTTTTTGACGAATTATTCTGAATGAGATTATTTCTAGGCATGAATCGACAAACATCTTTTTTTCAAATGTGTGTCCAGAATATCTGTTTGTAGAATTGTGAGGTTATTCTACATGGAAAAATATATCTGTTTAAATCTGTTTTTCCGTTATTCAGCTGCCGCACCCATACGAACGACAACTCTCAGAAGTTGAGAAACTTGTGCGAGCTAAGGACTAACGAGGTCTTACCTTTTAACGTGTGATTCCTAACACGGTTGCAGAATCGTTCCAGCTTCAACCAGATAAATTCTCTCGAGAAAAATATCTGGTCGAGGCGGGAATCGAACACACGACCTTCCGATCGTGAGTCGGACGCACTACCACCGCGGCCAATTCCACAAC